ACTTTCACAATTTTACCACCAGACAAAGTAACTGCATTTTTAGAACATCTTAATTCCATAAACTCTAAAATTCAATTTACTATGGAGTTAGAGGCAAATAATTCTTTAGCTTTCCTAGATGTGTTAGTCATTAGAAATCCTGATAATACCATAGGTCACACTGTGTATAGAAAAAAGACCCATACAAACCGATATTTAAACGGTGAATCCCACCATCACCCTTCACAGTTAGCTACCGTGGGCAAATCTTTGTTACAGAGAGCACGAGGATCTGTGACAGCAAACACCTGGCCGCCGAGCTTCAGCACATCAAGCAGGTTCTGCACGACAACAAGCTTCAGGTTCCGCGCCTACGTCACAGTGAACGAGTAAAGCCGGCCACAGTCGAGCGTGTGCCTGCTGTACTACCGTATGTCAGAGGTGTCACAGACAAGATTGGCTACATCTTGAAGCGAGCTTCTATTAGAACATTCTTCAAGCCACCGAAGAAGATTAGTCAGTTCTTACCATCCGTCAAGTGCAATATTCCTCTACAAGATGCAGGAGTATACAAGCTTGATTGTGAGTGTGGTCTCTCATATATAGGGCAAACAAAACGATCTATAAAAACCCGCGTAAAAAAACACATAGCTGACGTGAAGCACTAACGTTCCGGGAAGTCTGCAATTTGTGATCATATCCTAGACGGCCCCCGCCATTACATTAGATTTGATAAACCACAAATTCTCGCGAAAGAACATCGATTCCTGCCAAGGATGATACGTGAGACTATTGAAATTAAAAAACATCCTAATTTCAATAGAGAGGGAGGCTGAGTACTACCACCTGCTTGGGATCCTGTAATTCATAAAATTAAAACTAAACGCAAGCATACCACTGCAAGACTTCAAGACACAGTTAGTACATTCTGCGTAGATCGGACCAAAATTATTAATTTAATGAAAAAAAGCTGAAGGTACTCCGGTTTAACTCTGACATCGGGACGTCAATCACCTCAGTCCCCCGTGACCACGGTTGCTGGAAAGCAACCGAAACGTCGGGAATATAAAATAACTTAATTAAACGCGATAAAATCCGTAAAAGTAATTTTATTCAATGTGTAGTGTTCGCGTAAATATAAGAAATCATTAAGTAAAAAGTATCTTAAAAATATTAATATTCTTAATGGAGAGTTTTATTTTTACTCCGCGTTTTACTCGTGAAAACATTTTTTTCCCCAGAAATTGAATACATCAGTGCGAGCGTTCCTGACGCCTGCTCCGTCAATCTATAATCTCTAATACTTTGTGATTTCCGTTTGGTCAAGGTCACAGGCGTCTTAAAGCAATGACAAAAACTTTGATTCTGGTCTTCAATGGGACACTGCTCTCTAGTCGACGTTACTGACTTTATGAAATGTAGTTTGAATGCAATGTGTGATTGTAGCGAAGTTTAATTTCTCAGCTCTGTCGGCGGAAGGAATGTGTCGCAGGGGTGCAAGAGAGGCGGGGGTGAGGACTCCAGACCGGAGAGATTTTTCAATTACCAACTTTGTGCCATTCGCTCCAATCTGGACACACAGAGTACTTTCTAACTAGAGACTGTTAGTAATTAATTAATATAGTAAACCATGCATTTCGGAACGTTATATTATGCTGCAACTATATTATAGTTGTAGCACGAAGGGGTCGGCTCGAACGGAGAAGGTCCATGCTCTCACTGAATACCAGCGTAAAATAGCAGCTTAATGCTGCTGTATTTCGTATGGTTAGTGTAGACCGGAGAGACCTTTTTTACTGAAAATGAGACATTTAATCTCAGCCCTCAGGTGTGACAACGCATCTACGTTTTGATTCTTAACCTTACCATCAGGTCGACTGTATGTTCGTTTGTAACCCTTATTCTATAAAAAATGATTTAATGTTTTAATTCCTCCTCTTTCCACCATCGGACAACAAGGCGGTCTTCGCCCCTTTGTTGTCGATATTCCACGCATTAGAACTTTTGTAATGCGTACAGCAAAGGAGTGTAATAATTTGCCGGCGTCCGTCCGAATACACTGTGGCTATTTTTAAGGCTAGAATTAAGAGGCTTTTGTTACGCTAAGATGGTGCGATTTACCACCTGGTGGGATTGTGGTCAAGCACTTTCTTATGAGTAAAAAATACTCCCTTACCCTGATATGTAAGATTAATGTTCAGAAGGCCACTTATTAATAAAGTTTCACTAATGAAGGACAATGGACAAGTTTGCTTATCATAAAACCGAGACTTGATAACCTAGCTCTAGTTCCGACTGCATAACAGGAACTCTTTATGACCCATCGCAATCTCCGCACCTTGACAATACTGATATCTATTTTTCCGAAATTTCAAAAACTAAATACAAGAAAAACATTTTAACTCGGCTAAACCGGTGAGAGAGTTCATCCATTCTTGGAGTTTTCAGTCGCACGTTATCCGACACGAGGTAATAGCAAACCACTCATTTAAAAAAATAACTTTTAATAAGAAAGTTTAAAGAGCCTTAAAGAACTTTAACGTTAAATAAAACTACTTTTACGGATTTTATCGCGTTTAATTAATCATGGGGGCTGTAAAGCACTCGAAACGTCGGGAATTAATAAAAATAAGAAAAATAAGTTAATTAAACGCGATAAAATCCGTAAAAGTAGTTTTATTCAATGTGTAGTGTTCGCGTAAATATAAGAAATCATTAATTTTAACGTTAATTTCAGTCTTAATAATTGCTTTGTTTATTTCTTTTAGCCGCACACAGATGCACTTCTAAAGAGTTAAATTTTATAGTTATGAAACGAACTTAGTTAAAAATCATACTAATTCTTAATAACTTTACTATAATCTAGTAATTCTAGTATCTAATCATTGTTCATAATCTCATTGTTAATTCTCATAATTACATATATGTTTGATTTATTGTGTTGCGTACTGAGTAGTTACGTAGTAGGCCAAGTAATTATTCATTAAACTAACACATGGCGCTAGGCTCCTTCAATTATTTTAAAATAAAAATGATTACATAACAATTTTGACAATCTTGTCTCGTCTCGAGTGTTGACCCGAAAGTCACGGGACTCGAGTTAACTAAAATTACGAAAAGTCCCGGGATTTCGAGACACGAGACGTCCCGGGACTCAAACCCTACTTCCTATCTAGCCTTTACCGGAACATAGAAGTGCAGGTACTGCTGCTACTGCTGCTTGGTGACAGAATTAGGTAAGAGTGTGATACCTACCCAAACGGATTCTAACATCAACTAGGAATAAATATTTCTAGGCAGAAATATTTATTCCTAGTTGATGTTAGAACTCCACTATCTAATAGGAATATATAATATAATTAAATTGGTTAGTGTAATCTCTGTAGCTCTAAGTCAGTGTTCTGTGCATCATGGAATTCTTAATATCAGTGCGCGCTAACTACGGCGTATAATATTGGGCGGGAGGAATTCCCGCCCGCCCTCCGGAACCGGCGGCTTAAAGCCTCCGACATCTCGTAAGTTCTATTGCATTCTTAAAATAAAGAAATAGCTAAATTGTGCAGTTTGCGTTAAGTAGCTGATGTTTTAAAGTTAAATGTATTTGTCTAACTGACCATCATCTTTTAAAAACTACAGTACAAAATATTGTTGATAAATTTCAACATTTTACTATAACAGTTTTTTATTGATAGTTAAGTAACAACTTATTTAAATCCGAGAGTAGTAAAAGTAGGATTTTAAAGTAAAGTGTTATATTTAATAGAATCAGGCTTTACTTTACGGAAATCCATTATAATTATTCCAAAATACATCCATCACCGACGAGCACGTGGTAAATCAACGCCCTAAATTACAAATTTAATCATATATTGTGTTTTTTGGTGTGTCAGATATCGAGCAACGGTCGCTTTGATAGTGAGAACCTATTTAGCAAGGCACTATTCATTATTAATAGTGCTTTGCTATTATATTTATAATGCCTGGGCAATATGAATAATGACAAGTAAAATCGGGCTACGTAATTAATTTTATTTTAACATAACAAACAACAAAAACACCACATAACAAAAAAAATACTTTTTATTACTCTGCCCAATAAGTAACATACTTTACTTATAAATATTCAATCGTTTTCATCCATCGCTCATTTTGGGCATTTTTCAAACTGTCTGGACATTAGGAATAAATTTAATAATGCCCTATTAATCACTTGCTCCATAACGTATTATACAATATCTTCACCAATAATAGTTAGAAGCATCAAAGAATTAAACTTGTCACTCACGTCTCCACCGCCCAACACGGGAATGTCTTCGAAAATAAAACGCGCCAAGCACTAGTTTTAAATTGGATTCCGCTGCCGTAGCCCTGGCGGGGCGAGGGCTCCGGTCCTTTGAAGCCCGATTCTGACGCACCCGTTTCTACTAACAGCCGCGATTAGGACAAAGCGCTTCCTTCAAAAACCTTCGAACCTTTGATCGATCCTGTTAAATTATTGCGGACGAATGGGATCCAATGCGGCGTGCTTTTACACGCACTAGCTGTGTTTTCATTACTTCGAACTAAAACATAAGGTTCAAATTCAAAACCAAATTGTTTATTGCATGCAACATTACGAATATATGTATTTGTATGAGCCACAGCAACCACTGACCATGTTAACTGTGTGCTAATTTTAAAAACGTTTTTTATTTAATTCTATATAAATTATAAATAATACGTATTGAAAGTCGTTTTTATGTTAAACTAGCTGTTCCTCGCTTCGCCCGTGTGTAATTTGAGTATTTTTTGCGAGGAACCCTAATTCTTTTTCTAAAATTAAAGTAGCCTAAGTTACTCCTTATGATATATTATTATATTATGTTATAAGTACCGTATATACTTTCATATGCACTAAGTAAAAGCTCTTATTTCGACATTACAAACAGACACTTCAACTTTATTTATTTGTATAGATTAAGCACTGGTTCAGAAAATAATTCTGTCCTTGGGAAAACCAGCAAAAAACCTAGATTATTTATTTAAAAAAGATTTTTAACTTTATGGAGGACAAATTTTGTATATTTTCTGAGATTTTGTTCTAAAAGCGTATACATCGCTCCAACCATGAGTCTGACTCTATGGAGTCGAGTTTGTGGTATTACTAGCTTGTGTCTGTTCATATATTAACAGAGTGAATATCACTTATTTTTTAAAACTACACTACATTCTTTAACTACTTTCTCGTGTACATAATGTATGTTTTGTTTGTTGTTTTAAATCATACATTGCTCCTATGTCCCTCTCCTGTGAAACGATATAATTACAGCGTCAGTCGCGTGTCCCCATAGCGAAATACCATACAACTTTATGCTATGGAAATAACTGGAATATATTAGTCTATTTCAACCCTTTTTTACAACATACGCTATACAGCTATGTTTGCTGGCTAATATATCTAAATATGCACAAATATAGCTAAACTGACGAAGGTTTACGTGAAAGGAGCGAGATGGGTGCACCAGGATCGTGCCTAATGGAAGTTTGTAGTGTCTGCCTACAACTCTACCCCGGTGGGTGACAGACGTGAGAATTTATATATTTTTAAGTATATTATGTTTTATTTGTTTGTTATTTATACAATGCAACCGTGTAGTGCCCATTTTGTATCAATGCCTAGTGTTTTGTACATAATTATTATAAGTATTGATTGTGCGGTGGCGGTGGTAGGAAACCCATCACCCTATATCGTCCCGTGAGTATCGTAAGAGGCGCTAGAGGGAAACTAAAACAGAAGATGGGCAGTAACATCTTCCTGATAAAAAATAACAATGAAATAACAATTTCATTGGTGAAGGCGAGGATCGAACCCGGGTTGCTCGCGTACTGTGAAATTAACAGCGAGCGCTAACCATCTGAGCTACCACGGCTCTTACACATATAGCATATAATATTATGTAACTGTTATACAATTAATTTAAACCGCCGGTCGTTCAATCTCAAGAGCTACATAAAAATCTTCTCATATTGGCTCCGCAATCGCAGTTAATAAAGACTGCTTGATAAAGCTCGGTGCACTAAAACTTTACGTTGTCGCACATTATGAACGTTTTAAAACCTCCCTATACTTGGCAGTCTTAGTTTTAAATAGAAAATATTGGAAATTTGTCCTTATGTAACATATTTAAATTCTTGATCTAGTTGATATTCATTGTGAAATATTTGCAAAAAGCTTTAATTTAAAACAGGGAATTTAATAAAACGGAAGTTCAAGAACATGATGGTTTGTTGATCAGCGCGACAACTTTCCTGTAATGGCCTAACTTATTCCTTATCTACCTGATACCTGATAGTAAGCAGTAAGTGCTTCAGTGTTAGTTTGCTTAACATAGGAATATCCCAAAACACGCACGTGGTTATCATCCGTACATACATTTATCCATGTCACATTTTATAGATGATAGGGCCACGCTGCAGTTATATTAAAACTGCAGATGCGTTATTTCTCCTGTGAACTAAAGACTCGTCATCCAAAATGCAGGAGAATTATGCTAATATTCTATGTTAGTTTTGTATGTGAGTGTGGTTCTTTCCCGACACCAACACAGGGTGACTCCTAAGCAGAAAATATTCCTGCCCAAGTATGTACTACGTACGGACGGACACAGCGAATAAAATCTATACGACGGTGCGGGCCACGTGGTAGGATGCACAGAGTACCATTTTGTGGCACAGACTAAGTAAGTTTCAGCCTGTGGGTTATAATGCGTGTTGCAAATGACCAAGTGTCGATGTCTCTTCTATTACGTAGTACATTTTTCTTCAATGCCTACCATTTATAAAATACTACAAAAACAAACCAGAAATATACGGACATATGACAATAATTTCCAATAATAAATCACCCGAACGAGACCCCTGACGCTTCCCTGCATAATGAACGCATCTCATCAGCTTATGCAAATACATTAGATGCGTGCAGGGTGTAGAGATGGGGTGCACTATCGATCGCAAGTACACCGTCGTGCATAATGAATGCTGGCCCTTGTTATCTCGGAGCGGATGCTGGGGCTCTCACATACTTATTTGCTTTGTTCCATGTACACTTGCTTGTTCAGAACCATATGTTGAATATAATATACATTTATATTTTATATATGTAGCAGATTTATTGTTTAAGTACCTAACTACCAAAATAAATACATTTAACTTTATTAGCGATTCTTAATTTGGCTTTATGTTTTATTTTTGGTATGTGCGCTACGCGATACACCTTCCCCAATTGTTATTTATTATTCTTATCCTATTAAAGAAGCTATAACCTCAAGCGTGCCATTTTAATTGTAAGAATAAATTCTACACCCATACAGAGTGGATAAAACAGGCGATAAATTTGCGTTTTAACTATAAATGTTTTAGATAGTGATTTTAACCTAAATATAGTAAAACCGACTTAAAAAACTGAAGTCGGTTTTAAGACATAGTGTATCAAAGACGCCCTGACTTCAGAAGCTGAAATTGTGCGGATTTTTTTAAATCGCTTTTTAAGTTTATGAATGGACAGGAGATTGACTAACAGAATATCAGCATAAAATAGCAGCTTAATGCTGCTGTGTTCCTTATGGTGAGTTTAGAGAGAGTTTTTACTAGAAACGAGACATTTAATGTTAATCTCCAGGGATGACAACACATATGTTATATAAAAAACAACCCTATATGCCACAGCATGCAATTACCATCAGGTGGACTGTGTGCTCGTTTGTCATCCTTATTCTATAAAAAAAAGTCTTTATGTATGCGCCGGATAGCAAAACTTCCAGTCACTACTGTTGTTTTCACTACTAATGAATTCCATAGCATGGATCACAATCCAAAGATATCTAATCATTATACTACTATTTTACACCGACACTCATTTACGTCTATTCCCGATTAATAATCAAAATGCAGCACAATACGCTATATCGTTGCTCTGCTCCTGCCACGTGAAAACTGCTTATATTGTAACATGATTTACTATCATGGTCTTCACCATTACTTACCATCAGGTGGGATTGTCACACACGGGCCACCTTATAATATATCGCCGGAATTACTACAGGTAAACAAAACGCTTGATTTTGTTCACTCTCGTAGCGAAATACACAGATTTTCTAACAAAGTGCAGCGTGTAAGGGACATCGTCCAATTCTCCATAACGAGCATACAGCGGAGTTGCAGTCGCGAGATCAACTTGAGCGGCCAGTACGGAGCACGTATGTGCGCCACCAGCCTCCACCCCCGCCGCCCCGCCCTACCTTCCACCTCCTCCATCTACCCAAACGCTCTGCCTCCACCGGCGGTAATTAAGCCTCTTGCGACACTTCGTTCCTCGTTACGGTAGGTCCGGTCGGAAAACCCCGTTATGTACGACGTACACACACGCAAATGTACACTAACTTATTATAATACAAGTTATTCTACAAACTACCGATGTTTTAAAATCCTGGAGCATACATTCTATTTAAACATTTGTGTATGTTTGTCTATTCCTTTGTAACCTTACTTTATAGGTGCGAATTATTTTCCAAAATCAAGAAATTATGCGCTAATTGTTGTTATCAATATCGGTTGCCTCAAAACCACATAACCTTCTTCGTTCTTAATCTAGATTATATTTAATGGTGACTCATTACAAATGATCATCTCGCATGTCGCCTTAGACTAACATCTTCACGGAGTTTATCCCGTTTAATTTTAACTTTTTAATTCAAACTTGAAAGTGTCCATGGGTGCCCGAAACGTCGGAAATATAAAATAGGAAAATCTGTAAAAACTAGTTTTATTTAAATATGTAGTGTTCGCGTAAACATAAGAAATAAAGGTAGAATTTACAATGATAAACGCAAATAAGGGATTGATTTTAGAAATTTTTAATTGTTGCCATGTTATAGCCATAAAAAGAATTTATAACAAAGAACGTTAGCAACTTCGTTCCCCGAGACACTACTCGTATAAATTGTAAGTAGCTAGGAGGATCTGTAGAAATAAACGCGAGTCTGAGTTGCGATCCCAGTGAGAGGAATGCAATAAACAGTCGTTACATCGTTAGCGCCGGCAATCGCAACTCGCAAAATACCTGCTCTCATTAATTGGTTGCGAGTTCAATTCCAGCGCCAATTGTCTTCTAAAATAGGAGGTGGGGAAGCCATCAAGTTTCAAGTTAATTTCCTCGGTGGAAGCTAATCCGTGCGCCTAATTATCGCTGCCACCCTACTCCGTACCGACCCTCAAAGACTGTAAATTGATTCTCTGTAACAAGCTGGATGTGTGATTACATATTATATGTGCTTATGTAGTGTATTTATGATAGGAATTATAAATCCGGTTTGATATACCACGGACGAGTTACAAGAGAAGAATGTCGTGGAAGACATGTAGATTATGGCAATAGTTTTAGCCAAATACGTCACACGCCTGGGCAGCGGTCACCTCTCCTTCCCAAGTCCACCTTATTTCTTTGTCGCTTTTGGGGCAAATAAGTGCCGGCCGTGCTGCCAGAATGCGTGTTGGTGGACTTCACATGTCTGCGATATTATTTTATTATTACTGGTGCAGGTTTCCTCACAACGTTTTCCTTCACCGTCAAACACGTAATAAATCAGCGCTTAAAATTGCAATTAATATTCATTGGTGTCAGCGGTCGTCGGTTCTTTGAGCTATATGTCCGACTCATTGCCATGCCACCTCAGCTGACTAATCCGTTGGTATATAGAATAAGGGAGACAAACGAGCACTAAGTCCACTTGATGGTTAGTGAATTCTGTAGCGCATAGATACATTTATCCTCAATTAAGAATCAAAATGCAGATATGTTGTCACCCCTGTGCCCTGAGAATTGAGATGGAATGTCTCATTTCCAGTAAAAAGTGTATCTTATTCTCTACACTTACCATACGAAACACAGCAGCATTAAGCTGCTATTTTACACTGAATACGGTCAGTGGTAGTCCTTCCCCGGTCGTGCTACAACTATATAGCTGCAGCAGAGCTCTACCATATACTAATAATAATAACAATTTTTATATTTATGTGTCTATTCAATAAAACTTTATTATTAAATATTATTAAACAGTTATATTAACATTAAAAACGGATATTTATACGGATTATTATATACGGAAATGTATACGAAATATAATGTATAAGTTCAGATTTACGTCGATCCAATTAACGTCGCACGTTTTCTACGAGCCTCACACCTGTAAGAAGAGAAGCGGTACTCACTTTGTAGCTTACTACTGGCTGTGGTACAATAACAGGTCAATATAAACCTAGAAGAAACACGCTCTTACAAATTACCGGCAGAAATATTTCGTAGAATTATTGAAGGAAACTGGATAGCCACCATATCACAACAAATTATAATATCTTAGTCTAATATAAACGTTTGTATTTTGTATATTAGTGTAGAGGACGTTATTTAGGTAGTGGAGCCACGCTGCAGCTTTATTAGTATAGTAGTAGCACGAATGGGTCGACTCGACCGGGGTAGGACCACGCTCTCACAGAATACCAGCGTAAAATAGAATCTTAATGCTGCTGTGTTTTGAATGGCGAGTTTAGAGAACCGAAAATCCTTTTCCCCTGGGTTCTTCCTGGGACAGAGGGTTTTTTTAAGTAAAAAATGACTTTCAATAAGAATTACACATGTGATCTGTATTGAATAAAAAAATATTCTATTCTATTTTTTTTTTTTACTAGAAACGAGGCATTTCATTTTGGTCCTCAGGAGCGGTAACGTATCTGCATTTTGGTTCTTGATTGAGGATAAATGCAAATGTGAGAACCGATATTAATATTTTGAATGGTACACAGTAGATCGATGTATGAAAAGTCAAACTGTGTTCACCCTAGTTACGTTAAAAAGATTTATAATAATTATTTAACACCATGCTGTTATATCCAAGTCAATAACAAATTTAACAACTCTCTAATCGGGATCGTCTACATCTCATAGATAAAATGGTCACATGAGTAGGGCGCTGCTCGCGAAGTGGCACAATCGCTCGTGTCGCGGCGCAACACGCCGGAGGCTGCGGGGGCAAGAGGGGAGGGACAGCCGGGGAGGACACGGTGCAGCCCGTCGTCATGGCAACCGCCCCCGCCTAATCAATTGCAGAAATATGTACGATCCATTACCACTGCAACTTGACGCCCTCCCCCGCCCGTCAACTCACCGAATTCAGGCAGTGCCGGGGCTACAGAATACATTTCGAGGGTGCCAGGTAAACTGGTCGCTTTATACAGGAGAACGGTCGGCGACATTACACACACTTGGGAAGCGAGGAAAAGATGTATAGAGGCGTAACGTTGATTCGGTGCAATTTATTACGGCGTATAATTTTAAAAGATACTTTGCATTCGCCGCGATTTAAAAAAAACGCGACGCAACGATCTCAACCAGGCACGCGAGCTCGCCGCAAGCCAAGCAGCTAATCAAATCCGGTGCGAACCCAAACGCGGTTTAATTACTAGAAGCTACGATGAAAAACGCGCTTGCATGTTAACAATGGATTCGTGATATGCTTATTACGAAGTAATTATACCTCACACTTCGCTTTTTAAAAACGTATTAAACATTGAAAAATAACAGTGCATATTTTTGAAATAATATTGTAAGATCTGGATAAAAAAACTGTTTCCGTAATAACGATTTAAACTCAAGAATTATGTCTTGTTAAAATTTTTACACTGTAAAAAATTTAAATTGGTTATACACTTTGTTGCTTTACACGAGAAATCAACTCTTATGAACATGTATGTACGAGACGGTTCGACAGCGCAGTGAGTAAGCTTTTGGTAACGGCGTTGCATGCCGCGGATTCGAATTCCGCACGCAACAAGTGTTTGTACGGCATACAAATAATTTATTCGTGTTTTTATGTGTGTCCTTGTGCTATTTACGTACTTTTGTGTAGGTGGTAGAGCCACGCTAGCTATAACATGGTTGTAGCCCGACTGGGTCGGCTCGACTGGGTTGGGATAACGCTCTTAAAGAATACCAACCTAAAATAGCAGCTAATGTTGCTGGCTTACATATAGTTAGTGTAAAGAACCGGACCATACTGGAAACGAGGCATTCCCTCTGATTCCTCAGGGGTGACAACGCATCTGAATTTTGTTTCTTAACTGAGGATAGATGTGGATGTCTATGGGCCACAGAACACACTTACAAACAGGTGGACTGTGTGCCAGTTTGTCACCCTTACTCTATAAAATAAATAATAATAAATAGTAACCGCTTCCACGGTACAGAATAAAATCTTAGTGTCCTAACGTCTTTTTTATTTTATTTAAAACTAGCTGTTCCTCGCGACTTCGCCCGCGTGTAATTTAGCCGTTCCGGAGATTAGCCGGAATAAACAGACAGACAGACAGACAGACAGACAAAACTTTTAAAAATTGTGTTTCTGTTAGAGGTACCATATATACTTTTATATGCAATTAGTAAAAAACTGTAATTTTGACATTACAAACAGACATTCTGGTCTCTCGCCAAGGCTGTCCAAGGGAATTTCTGTAAGCCATCACTACCATCTCTGCACAGGGAGGACGACTCACTGGCCCAAGACGCAAAAGACAAAGCCGACCTTTTAGGCTCCCTTTTTGCGTCCAACTCGACTCTTGATGACGGGAGGAAAACACCGCCGACCGTCGCGCGGTGTGAGTGCTCCATGCCGGATGTGCTGTTCTCACAGCGCTCGGTTCGCAGAGCACTCCTCTCCCTGGACATCCAGAAGTCGAGTGGGCCTGACGGAATCCCCCCAATTGTGCTGAGGACGTGTTCTCCGGAGTTGGCACCGGTCCTAACGCGTCTTTTCCGGTACTCCTACTCCCAAGGCGTAGTCCCGAATTCATAGAAGACAGCTTTTGTCCACCCGATCCCTAAAAAAGGCGACCGCTCAGACCCGTCCAACTATAGGCCTATCGCGATCACCTCCCAATCAATCAATTTTATTTATTTGTATAAATGTATAAATAAACGTACCGAGGTACACCAACTACATCAGGTTCATTGAACTATTGCAGACACGAACTATCAAATGTTGAAAGCCTTCGCGTAGTAATTAACTGTATGTAACAAATATTATGAAGCATAATGCAATTAAACCTCGCAGAAGAGAAAGTAACGTATTCAGTTATTAAAAGAAAAACGAAATTCGTAGATTTACAATAATTTCTTGTGTGGACATGCTAAGGGATAGATTTAATTTAAGAAAGTTACGTTAATATTTATAAGTGTAGTGCAATCTCCCAATAGATGTCATTCAGACAGACGATCGTGTTATTTTTTTTATGTATTTTATGAAACCTGGCGGCTATGATTGATTTTTTATAGAATAAAAGTGACAAATGAGCACATAGTCCACCTGATAGTAGTAAGTAGATACTGTGGCCCATAGACATCTACATTTGTCATCGATTCAATTAATAATCAAAAAGCAGATACGCTGTCATCCCTGTGGATTAAGATGGCTCGTTTCCAGTGAAAAGGCTCTCCAGTAGATACTCTACAGGGAGTGATCCCTACCTAAACGAACTTCTAGGCAGAAATGGAGTGCTAACAGCTAGAAGTAGTTTAGTAGCAATTTCAGATATCTATGTTCAGCAGTGGAATTTTCATGAGCCGTAATGTTAATAAAAATAATTTTCATTTTTCAAATGAAAAAAAAAACTCACGATTATTGTTCACACTATAAACCATAACCATAATTAAGATAAAATGTCGTTGTTGTAAGCCGTGCCAAAAGCCAAAAGCCGTGGTAGTTGAGGGGCTAAGCTTTCGATGTAAATTTCATTAAGATTTCAAATATTCATAGATCATTTATTTTATCAATTTATCATTTCAAAAATTCTTCAAGATTTTCAGATGATACGTGGTAGAGCCTTATATTGTAGAGCAACCCGGGTTCGATCCCCGCCGCAGTAAATTGCAATTTTAAGTGCTGATTTACCACGTGCTCGGCGGTGAAGGAAAACATTGTGATGAAACTGCATGTATGGGAAATAAGAAAAAAATATTTGGAGTACATGCGAAGTTCGCCAACACGCATTTAAGGACATTTCCTTACTGGGTTTAAGTACATATATATACCTAATTAACAAAAACACACCAAACATTTTTACAGTTGTAACAAAATCTTTCAACTATTGTGGCTCTTAACAACAAAGGTAAAGTATTAGTTAGTATAAAAACATCACAGTACTCGTAGCTTGGTTATATTTATTTAATCTGTTAATGTGGCGTTATTTAGATTTCAAATATTCAAAGATCATTTTTTTATCAATTTTTCATTTCAACAACTCTTCAAGATTTTCAGATAATACGTGAAAGAGCCTTATACTGTAGAACCTTATACTTATACGTGGTAGAGCCATGCTGCTGCTATACTAGTAGTATAGTTGTAACACGAATGTGTCGGCTTGACCGGGGTAGGACCACGCTCTCACAGAATTCAAGCGTAAAATAGTAGCTTGACACTGCTGTGTTTCGTATGGTGAGTGTAGAGAACCGGAGACTATTTTTACTGGAAAAGAGGCATTCGATCTTAGTAGGCACGGGTGACAACGCATCTGCATTTTGATGATTTGATCTTTATTGAGGTTAGATATAGATCTATGTAGATATAGGTCTACGGGTCACAGTAACCACTTACCATCAGGTGGACTTAGTCACCCTATATTATAAAAAATATAGACTACATCGCCTCTGGCATTACTCTCTACCTCTGTGTTAGTTACAATCGGTTAAAGTTTCATTACAATCGGTTCAGACATTCCGAATATTATCTCAGACAGACAGACAAACAAACATTTTAAAATGGTTGTTCACGAGTATTTCTTATTAATATACAAATAATCCCCTGAACTTGCCAATTATTTCAATATTATAGACAGACACTTCAATTTTATTTATAGGTATAGATTTATTAAAATTTTTATTGTTACGTAATAATACAAGTAAATAATTAAATTAGTCTTAAATTACGTTTTTAAGTACGCAATACAATTACAAGCAACAGTCAAAACTGAACAAGTTGTAGGTCGTTACGTAGCCAATATGACTTTACCTTCGACATCCGCTCGAGCTGTTACGTAGCACCGTAGCACGGCGCCGTTCGGCCCCCAGCTTGCTACGAATTCTCAATACCGTCTTGACAGGCATCTGAAACTTTCAACACAATCTAAAATTACTTTTAATCATATAAAAATATATTATAACATATTTTACTAGTAAAATGTCCAAGTTACTGTAAGTTACACATTTTGTTACACCTTTCGAGTAACTGCATATATAAACTAGTAGTAAGTAGGAATACACTACGGAGCTCTATTTACGGACGGTGCCGAATTCAATATTGGACTCAATTCTGTGGGCTAAAGTAGTAAAATATCAGAAACATACACTTGAATAAATATTATTATTTATGTAAATAAACTTATCAATTTATTCTTTAACTCAAAAATCCAGCACAAGGAAGCATCTCAAATAGCGTATCTATTTATTTATTAAGTATTTCGGCATATTATATTATTATACAGGTTTCAAATACAAAAATTGATTTAAAGAGTGATTTTTGGAGGAATAAATAGAAAGTTATTTTTTGTCTATCATCGTATTAGGTACGTAAGATATGCGAGGGTTATACCTCTTTGGTTTCATTTAAAATCACCCTTTTAATCATTGTGCCCGCAAAATTACTTGATCATAAACTTTGACCAAATATCACAACGCTTTTTTTCGGTTAGAACAACGGTTGAACAGTTAGCACACTGGCATTTTATTCTGCATCGTGGAGACAGTTTATATACATATTTGACTTTCATAGAATAAACGTGACAAACAAGCACACAGTCCACCTGATGGTAAATGGATTCTGTGGCCCATAGACATCTACATCTATCCTCGATTAAGAATCAAATTGCGTTGTTACCCCTGAGGACTAACATGGAATGCCTCGCTTCCAATGTAAAGGGTCTCTGGTTCTCTACACTCATCATAATAAATGCAACAGCACTAAGCGGCATCTGTGAAAGCGTGGCATCAGCATAGAATAATACAATAAATAGCCTTAATCTATTTAGTAATTAAAGTATTGGTGGATAAAGGGGTAAACTGTAGAAAGACTTAATAAAACATTAAATCATTTTATTCAGTTTTATAAATCTTTTGTTTGCATATCAGAAGTAATATAATAATATGCCAAGTCACAAAGAAGCGACTGCACGTAACATAGCACGGGAGAGATAAGGTCGAGGCGAGCCACTGCAGCCTCTGTAATGACTAGTTTCATATTTCACGCAACTAATTGAACACCCGAGAAAGCCCTGCACCTGCCGATGAAGGCTGATATTAACATTGTTTATTGGCTCGCTATTAATACATCGCTTGACCCCACGGAACGTTCCCAGAAGCAATTACCCGTTTTCGCAGAGCGAAATGGCGTCTTCAAAAATTCATACTCCACCCTCTATAAAATGAAGGAGCCGCCCCTTAAAATAACTGTTAAAAAGGCGCACACACTCCATTATGTGATTTAAAAATCATATTCAAAATCGCTGTTGGGGCCAAACGAGCGTGCCCGCTATTCTATTACCGACCCTTGCCGGAATAAATTCCATCGAAGCGCAATAATAATAAAAAAAATGTCGAGAGCTTGTCGCGTGCAAAAGACGTGCGGTCACGCGGACACCTCCCCCCCCCCCTTCTGCCCCGTCTCCCCCGACGACCCTCACCCCGACCCGCCGAGCACCCTCTGAGCCTCCCTCGCAAGAATATAATATGCATTATGCGAAATCCGTAACTCTTATGTTGGGTCTGGAGAATACCTTAAAATGGTTAACTAGTTATTCCGAATCGGACCCTATTATGTGCTATTTAAGGTTTTATGTTCGTTGGCTCTCGCAACTCTTAAGACATTCGTAGCATGAATCGACCGCGCGGCTTCCTCAGGGCGGGCGAGGCCTGCACTCTCAAGATAACGCCGGGTATTAATCATAGTATTATCGGCCGGTGGCGGCGTCTTTGTTATGACACCGCGTTATTGCAGTTTTTTCTCTATCTACCCTCGAGGACGCGATAAACGGCTCGAGAGTGAATTTTCCGGGACAGATGTTTTAGTAATCCGGGAAAGATATCACCGAATATGGTCCAATAAAACATTGAATATTATTATTATGGTGGTCGCTTCAGGGCGGCGAGTGCAACCCCGTGTATAGAGACATAAAATAAAGGGTCCACAGGAACGTTGTTCCACGGAACAAACCAACTACCTAGTATAAATTGTAAAGGCCATATTAACTTTTTAATGTTACACACACCAAGTATACGTCGTAAACTGTCAGTTTTAGTAAAATATGTTACAACTTACGCTATCATCAGTCAGCGCCACATCATTAAGTCTCGTCTTCAAAACGCTGCTGCCAAAAGAGGCATTACCGAGGGAAGCTGCAAAGGGCTGCGATGACTGGCTCAATTGAAGCTTACATATCTCCGGGCGACAGCACGTCCCGCCGGGCGCAACAATTTGTGTATGATTAATGGACGCGTACGCGGCGCAAGCGAAAACGCCGGAAATCTCAGCGCCTCACGGGACCGCTTCCACTGTAAACGCCATAAAAGTTGAGAGTTGGCAGCACGCCACTCGCTCACACCCTGACTCTTTCAACCGTTCCTAACTTAAAAACACATTTGAAAGGTAAATGAAATACGCAATAACTAGTTTTATTTCAATGCCTAGTGTTCGTGTAAACAAAAGAAATCTTTAAGATTGAATTTAGACGTTCGGAACTTTTGGTGTTTGGTGAACAAGTATCACTGTTTAACAAGTAAATACCATGCTACTTGAAAAATTTCATAAATTTTATCTTTTTTAAGAAGTTTAATAAATCATTTTTTATAGAACATGGGACAAACGAGCATGCGGCTCACCAGATGCAACACCAGAGAAATTGAAGATGCGTTGCCAGCCTTTTAAAGAGGAGTAAGGTCGTTCCTGGAAAGTCACTAAATCATAACGATCGCGTAAAATCGCCGGTGGTAAACGTTTCCACAAAGAAGTCGTGCGAGAAAGAAAATTTCTAGTAAAACGCACAGTGGTGGACATCCCTACGCCAAACTCTCATGATATCGCGAGTTTTGTTGCGATCTGCGTTGGTGACATCTGGGTGATAGGTACTTATTATTGGCATGAATTAGTACCTAATTGAAACTCTTTAAAAAATATCTCATTTGAGATAAAATGATATGTTTCCTATGAGTTAGTTTCAAAGCAAACGAAAAGCTAAAACTATATAACTGAGGCAAATCCTCTCCAAAGTTTACTTAGCGACAATGAACACCCAGCTAAAAGTTTGTACCCCTAACACACACAAGGTAACAGCTACGTAAGTACGCATCTGTGCAAGTGTGCGTGTGCTACGGGATCATTTTTCACGTTTCATGAAGCGACCGGGCGCGGGGCAGTGGATTAAAATACATTTCGCTCGTCGTCGGTGATGGATGGCCCGCTAGCCCCTGGGAGGAAAGGGTTGCCCCCCTCCTCGTCCCGCTCCCAGCCTCACCCCTAACTCACACTGCTTGGAAAAGTCGCTCCACTCGGGGTCGTAATGAGCAAGCATACATTGTGAGATATGAATGAATACTTTTTATTGCATTCTTGAAATAAAGAAATGTCTAAATTTTGTTTTTCTTGTGAACAAGCTAATATTTCAATATTTTTATTAAAAAAGTTGATAAACACATTTTGAAATTTAAAATATTCTTATAACGATGATATAATAATAAAAATGACCTCCAGACCGAATTTCTGTGACGGTGGCCAGTCTCCAGTTTCATCTGCGCAGGTCAGGATTATAGTGCGGACTATAGCCGAGTGTGTGCGCAAGCACAGGTGCTCTCTCTATTCCCTCACTCTCATAGTCTGATGGGATAGCAAACCGACACGACTGGAGAGTGATCTGGCACAAGACTAACGGCTTTACGTGCTTTTTGATGTACGTGGTGAAACACCGCCAACTTCGTGACTCCAGGATACTACTGAGAATTTCTTGACAGAAAAGTCCGATAAATGAATTAGTCACGACACGGAATTCCAACACAAGACCTCATGATCAGTCAATCGTCGTGAATAACGAAGATATTATCATATTGAGTATACCCAATAACCTCAATCGTGTCTCTTAACGACTTATGTCCTAATATGAGCCATAGACCAGACGATGATCATGTCTACCATCCATGTCACAATTATGCTGGTATTTGTTGGGAACACTACGCATGTATTTATTAACAAGTATGTTTACCTAGGACTATTTTACCACTAGTAGATTCAACTCAGCTGGACAGTGTCTGGAAAATTACGAGACATCAATTTTAATATTTATCAAAATACTCGTACTTAAAAAAATGTACAGTCAGTGAGAATATGCACGTGGCCTTACACTATTAGTTATATGAGTTCAAAGTCACACCAAGTGATTTTTATAGCAATTACATAATAAACGAGATAACAGGCCCAGTCCACCTGAGAGTGAATAACAAAAACTATTATAGACGCACTGTCAATTCTAAGTACTAAAATAGAATCGTCCGTGATAGTACCGATGCTGAACTGATTAGACGGGAATACAGCCGTAGTAACAGTGGCTCTTGTCGGCATAGCAAGGCCCTTCTACTGGTTACAAGACATTCCATCCTACAGCATCTGCATTTTATTATCGTGGTAGCGCAGGGACTAAGCGTTCGCTGTAAATGACACAGTACGCGAGCAACTCGGGTTCGATCCACGGCGGCAGTAATTAAATTATTGCTTGCAATTTTAAGTGCTTATTTACCACGTGCTCCGGGGTGAAGGAAAACATCGTGCGGAAACCTGTATGTGTTAGAAGTGAAATAAAATATTTCGAAGACACTTGAAATCTGCCAATACGCACAGCAGAGTTACCCTAAAAGCCTCTTATATATATGGGGAGGCCTGTGCCCAGCTGTGGGACGTATATACGCTGCACCGTTTTACTCGGCCAACAATTTTTCCCTGACATTCTTCTCTTGTTTCTTAACCCTTAGTATATCAAATGAGATTTATACTTTCCATAATTAATACACCATAAAAGTACATATAAAATCAAAAATCTGGATTACTGATTGTCATAATTACAGCCCCT